ACAAAAACAACAGTAATAATAAAATAATAATATTTTAAACATTATTAAAAATAATAGTAGTAGTGATAGTAGTAGTAATATTACTACCATTAATAGTAGTGATTATGATAATAAATAAAAATAATACAAAATAAATAAACAGTAATAATAAAATTAGTGATGATAATAATACTAATAATACCAATAATAAAAAATAATAACAGTAATAATATTAGTGGTAATATAATAATAATAATAATAATAATAACGAATTTTATTTTACACTAAAAAAACACACTAAATATAGAATAGTACAAATAGCAAAAAAAAAAAAAAAAACCCTGAAACAATAATAATATAAATATAAATATATATATATCTATAGAGAGAGAGAGAGATAGAGAGAGAGAGAGAGATTGATATAAATAGACAATAGATAGATAGACAGATAGATACATAGATAGATAATTGGATAGATAGACAGAGACACACACACACACACGCCATATAATTGTGTATATGTTTTTCTAAAAAAAATTTACTTTTTAAAATACTTAAAAAATCTGAATGCAAAAATTCCACCTTCACTTTTTTTTTTTTTTTTTTATTAAATCCAACATCTAATTTTTTTAGAGTGTACCTGTCTATAGACAATGCCACTCTTTTCCCTATTTTCGCTCCCTCCTGACATAGCCATCCACTAGCTGCCAGCATTTACTTTTCCCGAATAGAAATATTTCAGCATCCCCCTCTATTCCCTGGAAAATTGGCAATTTTCAGCCCATAAATAAATATGCATGAGGCAAGTCCCTTTTTTATGCAGATCATTCAGATCAGAGGCAGTCGATAAACCAATAATTCAGCCCTTGACCTGAATATGAAGCCTATATAGCCCTGCTGTAGCTGTCAGCCATCCAATAGGCACAAGCGGTCAGACCGATTTACCAGCATTGTCTGTAGGGGACCGGATCCGATATGATCGATGAGCATCCCTCAGATTTGTTTTTTTTCTCTGACAATCGGTACAGTGTATCAATGTTTGGAATCTCTCTGCTGCATTTCATATTTTCTCAGCAGTAAGTCATCGAAGGAAACTGGTTCAATTAGTCCTTCCTAGGCAGGGAGCCTGACCAGGAGATCTTTTCATTAAAGAAGAAGCAAGTAGTGTTGTGAACATTTATTGATATGTGTAAATAAATAGTTTCGAGGCGTTTAGTGAGGACTATTGGCTGTATTTCTGGAAAGAGGCTGCTGCTTTGATCAGAGGGGGTCCCTGGTGGAATGGAAGCCCCTCTAGGGTGCTATTTCGCAATCTCAGCCGCTCGCTATTGGTCAGTATGTGATCATATGCCTCTATTTCCTTCTGTCCCTCACTGGCACCCGGCCATCCCCCTTCAGCTAAAACCCAATCTCCGATAAACTACTAATAGCTAAACCACTTGGACTATAAAACACAACAAATCATAAAGCCAGGAAGGACTACAGCCTCCTCCCAATGAGTTCCTATTTTGTCAACTCCACTTTCCCGGTAACTCTGCCTGGTGGGCAGGAACCCTTCCTAGGACAGATCCCCCTGTACTCCTCCGGCTATGCGGATCCTTTAAGACACTATTCTGCAGGCTATGGGGCCTCTGGAGTGCAGGAAAAGGGCTATGCTTCCTCCTCTTATTACCAGCAGGCGAATGGAGCCTACAGCCGGACAGGGGCTTGTGACTATGGCGCAGCCGGATTCTATAGGGACAAGGAGGCTTCCTGTGCCATGTCCTCCCTGGAAGAGCAGACGCAGTACAGCCATGAGCAGCGCAAACCGGACTGTGCACACACCAAGCTGCTCTATGACGACCAGGACGACGCCAAGGGCTCCACACCCGTCTACCCCTGGATGCAGAGGATGAACTCCTGCAATAGTAAGTTGCCTTTTACTTCTCTCTCCTGCTCTCACTCCACTTCTTCCCCCTGCTACAGCTCAGGCGGCCATAAATCACACAGGCTACAGCCAAATCGGGCATGGCTGTTTGATACTGTGCCATGGAGGCTCTGCGACTCTTCTACACATGATGTGCGACTATTTCTGTCACTGGGGCTATGCTAAACCCAAACAATGCTCAACAATGTCCACCCTTCAGACTTTCTTCTGTTATTCCTTCACTAAGTCCTGGACGTTAGACTCACTTCTGTCCCTTTCTCTCTTACTTTTTCTCTCTCTTTACACCTCTTTCTTTTCCCCTCTCTCCCTTTCTCTCTCTCCCTCTCTCTTTTTTTTCTCTCTTCCTCTTTACACCTCTCCCCCCCTTCTTCCTCTCTCTCCCACCCTCCTTCTCTCTCTTCCTCTTTCATTTTTTTTACTATCTGTCTCACTCATCTTTTATTCTCTTACTCCTCTTTATTTCTCTCTCTCCCTTTTATTTACTCTGTCTCTCTTTCTTTCACTCTTCTCTCTCACTCTTTACACCCCCCCCCTCTCTCTCTCTCTCTCTCTCTCTCTCTCTCTCTCTCTCTCTCTCTCTCACACATTCTATTTCTTTAATTTTTCTCTACTTTTTATGTCTATCCCTTTTTCTCTATTCCTCTTTCAATGTCTATGTTTCCCTCACTTTTTCTCTAGCCTTTTCTTTCTCTTCTTCAATTTCCCCTGTCTAATTCTTTGTTTTCTCTTTCTCTCCATATATTTACATCTCTTTCTTCATCTCTCTCATCCTCTCTCTACAACTTATCTTCCTTCATTTTCCCTTTCTTTCTTTCTTTTTCTTTTTTCTTTCTTTCTTTCTTTCTTTCTTTCTTTCTCTCCCTCTCTCTCTCTCTCTCCCTCCCTCCCTCTCTCTTTTCCCTCTCACTGTTTCCCTCACTCATCTCTCATATCTACACATTGATTTGAACAGCTATAGGTACACTGTACATATATACATTACTTGCATTTAAAGAGATGCCTTATAGTTACCATCAAAGTTTACAGTAATTAAGCAGCCCCAAGAGATAATTTAGACAAGTGACTTATCAGTTTAAAATCATTTTCCCCACTCAAGTCCAAGACTGAGAGGTCCCCACATTTCCTCATGTATGTGTGTGTTTGTTTTTCCTTTCAAGGCTGGACCTGCTGCCCATTAGTCAGAATATAAAGTGCTGAATCCATTAATACACAGCTTGTGACGATCAATAGATTTCATTATCACTTAAATGATCAAATCTATTATTGTAACCGCTTGGAGCAATCTGAGGTACACCTTGATCTATAACAGAATACCAAATATTGCACTACACAAAACTGACAACCCATTGATTAGGACACTATAAGAGCAATTGTGGACATTTTATTTATTTATTTTGCTTTTCTCTCTCTCTGGATGTGTGTTAAAAGTAATAGCAATGTGCAAAAGTATCCAGTACATGTTTAGAGCCTAACATAGGAATATATATATATATATATTCCTATGTTAAGATCTAAACATGTAATGGACGCTTGTACACTATTTACATTATTATGACTATGATTATATATATATATATATATATATATATATATATGTATATATATATAGATATATACATATATATCTATATATATATATATATTCCTATTAAAGCTCTGACCATGTAATAGACAATTTTACACTTATCACATTATTACTTTTACAATCTCATGTAGATTTATTAGAAATATATTACTATGTTTAACTGTTTAACTACACTTGTGCACTATTTACATTATCACCATCACTTTTATTTTATATATATATATATATAATATATATATATATATATATATATAGAACATGCAATGGACACTTGTACACTATTTTCATTATTACTATTACTTTTACTATATCATATTCCTGTGTTAAGCTCTAAACATGTAATGGACACTTGTACACTATTTACATTATTACTATTACTTTTACTATATATATATGTGTTTTCCTGTGTTAAGCTCTAAACATGTAATGGACACTTGTACAATATTTACATTATGACTATTACTTTGACAATCTCATATATATATATATATATATATATATATATGACATGTATATATATTTAATGTTAAGCTCTGACCATGTAATAAACACTTTCACACTATTCACATTATTACTAGTACTTTAACAATCTCATATAGATTTATTAGAAAAATATTACTATGTTTAACTCTTAACATGTACTGGACATGTTTACACTATTACTAGTACTTTTTACAATCCTATATGTATATATATATATATATATATATATATATATATATATATATATATATATATATATATATATATATATATACAATATATTAACAGGACCCTTTGCACTTGATCCTGATTACATCCATAGCCATGAAATACATAGTATCCAGTATACAGTATAGTCTAGTATACAGTATACATAGCTCCCAAGACTTAAGTCATTGTGAGGTGTCACACTGCCATCCAAGATTCCTTTAGTAAACAGCAGGAAGTGGAGTGTGGGCCAGGGAAAGGGCTGTGTATCCTAATAAATGTTCCTTTGTGCAGGTTCAGTATTTGGGCCCAGTGGAAGAAGAGGAAGACAGACCTACACCAGATACCAGACTCTGGAGCTGGAAAAAGAGTTTCACTTCAACCGCTACCTGACCAGGAGGCGCAGGATCGAGATCGCCCACTCCTTGTGCCTGACTGAGCGACAGATAAAGATCTGGTTCCAGAACAGAAGGATGAAATGGAAAAAGGAGAGCAAATTACTCAACTCTTCCCTACCGAGCGCAGGAGAGGACGAGAAAAGCGCAGAGTGATCCTCAGACAGCACTGAAATGCACCACAATCCTTGTACCTTGAATAAATTATTGTTGCACACAGGACTAGTAAAGAACAAAAGATAGTGACAGATTATCTGTATTATTATTACTACCTATATGTCTGACTGTCGTCGGCCTGCAGTACTGGAATACTATATATATATACATATATATATATATATATATATATATATATATATATATATATATATATATATACAGTAAGTGGCCCACAATGCACGATTGCATATTTTGTTGTCTATTGTATTTCTATGCCTACTGAAAAAAAGTAGAAATACTACCTAGAACCTAATTGTGAAATGTTCTATTTTTATTAAGTTGTTTTGTTATTTTTCACTGTGTTTGTGTGTATTTTTTTTTTTTCAATTCTGTATATTTGTAGTTCTATTGGGGATGGGCCTTTAGTGACAGGACATGACAGCTCTCTTCTAGCTAATAGTGAAGGGAAGCAAAGAGTCCCTTACAATGGAATATGCATCTGACATGTCCAAAACGTAGTTCTAGTAGAAGCACAACTAGTTTATGTCTGTTTTTTTGTAGCCCAGCGCCCATGGGAATTCAGACTGACCAAACATCCGTTCTCATTAAACACTGGCTTTTGTCCCTGCACTTTCCCCTACACTAAAATGAGAGGTACAGCCATAGAAGTCAGAAAATGACTGTATTATCTCAGCCTATGAACAGCCCCCTAATCTAATTCTCTCCTGCTCTAAAACATGCAGCTTGTCTGGGATATTTTATTAAATGTTGTTGACAATGAATACTTGTGGTTATTTTCTCTGTATATTTAGCATCATGGATTAACAGATCATATGTCTGCTGGGAATTAAAGATTGCGTTTCTATAAAGAACAAATGTGCAATGTGCTTCTGTCTTTTAATATTTTTTTTTAAAGAACACAGTATCCAGTCTAAGCAATCTGCTTGCTTTTAAGCATTGGGGTTTTAATAATATGTTATTTTTGAGCTATTCGGAAAGATGCTAATTCATAATTAGATGATCAAATTTGCAAATCCTTTTTTTTTTTAAGGGGTCATGTCATCAATCAGTCATTCCTTTTCGACCTAGAGAAATATGAATTAAAACTAAGCACAGCCCATCATCTAATTACCTATCTATATGTACCTAGTTCAAGAACAGTTTAAAGTCCTTTAAGACATTCGACCACTATAAGAAATGCATTTACTTGCTTTAAAAGGGGAGAAGGTCCAGATTTGATTTATCGTCGGTGTAACGGTTCATTGTATGAAGAACATGGTTGATATATATATATACATATATCTGTCTGTCTGCCAATGAATATATATATATATATATATATATATATATATATATATATATATATATAGATAGATTCAGTATAATAAGTATCTATATCATATCATAGTACCTACCTATCTATCTATCTATCTATCTATCTATCTATCTATCTATCTATCTGTGTGTGTATATATATATATATATATATATATATATATACACAAACACATTTTATATATATATAAAAAGATTTTTATATATTTATATAAAAACAGTTTATATATGATAGATAGATAGATAGATAGATAGATAAGATAGATAGATACAATATGATACGGTATGATTTGATATGTAAATATGACATGATATGATATGAAATTATATGATATATACTAATTTTACTGAATCTGTCTGTAAAGATTCCCATTTATCCAGGTTATGGTATATGTAGTTGTAGATAGTCTCACTTAACTAGACTTGTTCTGTATTTTACTGAACCTTTTTTTAATAAGCTCCAGCATTGTTTCCAATGCCTGTTTCATTACCCAAATATCAAAGATCTGTTTTAGGTTCTAGGTAAAAGCCAGGGATCATATACTATTATATCATGTCATTTCATTGCTATATCATCACCATATCATAATATCATTACCATTATAATTTAAAGAATATGTATTTGGATATCACTAAACAAAAAGAACGAAGGGCACCTAATGGGTTCTTTTTTTTTCAGGGTGTGTACCCACTGGCATTTCCCCGAATTTCCGGTAGGTGTCGCGGTCCGCCAACAGGCAGAGCCGAGCGTCCCAGGGATTTTTTTTTTTTTTTTGGAAGCTGTACATCGACTTGGGCCTAACGATTCTCAGATCGTCATTATTTGTAACCATAGAGCATGAATTACCTCTTGAGGTCATCAGTGAGAATTTACGACTGGTCAACAAAAGCACGTGATTTCCAAACGCACCCACACCCCCATATTTGGCCGCATACATAGCTAAAAACCAAGTACAGTTGCATTGCTATAATTCATGAATCCATCATAAATCGTCAGGCACGGGGTGATCCACAAATCAAGCCTCCCAAAAAAAATCCTCATCACCCCAATGAGTTCCTACTTTGTGAACTCGTTCTCAGGGCGCTATTCTAATGGCCCCGACTACCATGTGTTAAATTATGGCTCTGGCAGCAGCAATGTGAACGGATCTTACAGGGAGGCAGGCAGCATGCATCCCACCTCCTATGGGTACAACTACAATGGCATGGACCTGAGCGTCGGCCGGGGAGCCGCTCCTTCCAGCAGTCACTATGCGGACAGCTCAGGAGGCTTCCCCCAGCCAGGAGAGCCGCTTCAGAGCCTCCTCCACCTCCAGCTGTCCCCTCTCCTCCCCAGAGTCCCAGAGCCTTGGGGGAAAGGGTGAGCAGGTCCCTCCCGACCCGGCTACCTCCAGGAGCTTCACAGAGGTGGAAGAGACCAGTGCATCCTCAGAGCCAGAAGAGGGCACCCCAAGAGGAGGCAGCACGTCCATGGCACAGCCGGAGAGCAGCCCCCCAGGAGCAGCCAGTGCAGACGGACAGACCCCACAGATCTTCCCCTGGATGAGGAAACTGCACATCAGTCACGGTACCTCCACTTTTTTTTATGTCAATTTCACGGGGGGGGGGGGGGGACCGACACATGGCTACTGAAATAAAACCCAACACCGGGTCGGGTCAGAAGATGAGAAGAGTGTTTATTGTACTTTTATTGTATACAGGATCATTATTATAGAATAGATACAATTCAATACAGAGTTCAGTGTATCTATCTTCCCCATCAGAGCCCCATAGAAAAACAGAGCAAAGGGGCTGACACATGGGTGCTGAAATAAAATCTGGAGCCAGGTCGGATCGCACAAATAGAGCGGTGTTTATGTACTCTGCCTGTATTTACTGCTGTTATAACAAATCATTGCATAAATAAATATTGTGGATGTATCTCAGTATGTCTGCCATCCCCATCAGAGCCCCATAGGACACAGAGCAAAGAGACAGACACATGGGTGCTGAAATAAAACCCAACACCTGATTAAAAAAAAAATAGAATAGTATTTATGTACTGTATTCAGTATCATTAAAACAATCATTGAATAAGTAAAATATTGTGGATGGGCAAATTTGTATCTCAGTTTGTCTGCCATCCACATCAGAGCTCCATAGGACACAGAGCAAAGGGACTGACACATTGGTGCTGAAATAAAACTCAACACCAGATCAAAAAAAATAGAATAGTATTTATGTATTGTGTTCAGTATCATTATAACAATAATTGAATAAATAAAATATTGTGGATGAGCAATTTTGTATCTCATTGTGTCTGCCATCTCCATCAGAGCCCCATAGGGCACAGAGCAAAGGGACAGACACATGGGTGCTGAAATAAATCCTAACTCCAGATCGGATCATGAATGTAGAACAGGGTTTAACGTACTCTGGCTGTTTATAGAAATAATTATGACAATCATGTAATAAATAAAATATTGTGGATGAGCAATTTTGTATCTCTCAGTGTGTCTGATATCCCCATCAGAGCTCCATAGAACCAGGGCAAAGGGACAGACAGACACATGTGTGCTGAAATAAAACCCAACACAGATACAAAAAAATAGAACAGTGTTTATGTACTCTGGCTGTATACAGAATCATTATGACAATAATTGAATTAAAAAAAATGTATGGGTGTTAAATGTATAGCTCAGTGTGTCTAATCGTCTCCATTAGAGCCTTATAGAACAAGGGCAATGGAACAGACACATGGGTGCTGAAATAAAATCTACAGCCAGGTCGGATCAAAAAGTAGAACGTTGTTTAATCTACGTTAACTGTATACAGAATAATTTTGGCAATAATTGAGTGAAAAACAAATTATGGGTGAGCAATTTGTATCTCAGAGCCCCATCAGACAGAGCTCAATGGTACAGACACAGCACAACCTCATGGGTGCTGAAATAAAACCTAACACCGGGTCGAATCATAAAGGTAGTACAGTGTAATGTTCTCTATGTATATTATATTATTATATAAATAAAAATAGTGTGAATGAGTCATTTGTATTTCAGTGTGTCTACCATATATCAGAGCCCCATAGAACACAAGGTATTTGACAGACACACGGGTGCTGAAATAAAACCCAACGCCAGGGCTGATCATAAATATAGAACAGTGTTTAATGTACTCTGACTGTATACAGGATCATTATGACAATCATTAAATAGATAAAATATAGTGGATGAGAAATATATAAATGTGTCTACATTCCTCATAGAACAGCGGGCAATGGGACAGACACATGGGTGCTGGAATAAAACCAACGCCAGGTCTGATCATAAAAAAAAAATAGTAATTTGATAGTATATGAATGCAGGACCATTATGACAATCATTGAAAAAGTAAAATGTAGTGGATGATATTAAATATATTTCCAAGGCTATAAAATGTAGCAATTATTGTCGGTCATTAATACAAAGTAATAAAGTGATGGGGCCTAGCCATAGATTAAATAGGTCAAATAAATACAAAAAAACAGATAGGAGTTAGTAGAGGAAAGGGAAGCTGTGTTTAGGGATGAGCAGTCATGTGAGACAAGTGGATGGGGTGAAGGGCAGTTCAGGGAAAGGGAAGTGAGCTCCAGGGGTAGGATGATCAGGATTGTGCCTTTTGTTACTAATCCCCTGCAATGGTTATCCTCCCCACCATACAGATATGACAGGTCCTGATGGGAAGCGGGCGAGGACAGCCTATACCCGTTACCAGACGCTGGAGCTGGAGAAAGAATTCCATTTTAACAGGTACCTGACCCGCAGGAGAAGGATTGAGATAGCCCATGCCTTGTGTCTGTCCGAGCGCCAGATCAAGATCTGGTTTCAAAATCGAAGGATGAAATGGAAAAAAGACAATAAACTGAAGAGTATGAACCTGGCCACAGCAGGGAGTGCCTTCCAGCCCTGAGAGGGACACCATGACCAGGACTTCTAGCTCCCAAAACTGGGAACACCTTTTTTTTGTGGCACTTGCTGTGGGGCACCTCTTGGCATGTCTAGTGTTCTAAGGACACCTTGGTGGCTCCTGCCCAGGATTACACTCCATCTCCTCATCATTTCTAGCTGTGTTCAGTGCTCTCAGTCCTATATGTTCGTGACTGTAAAATACTGCTGCTTATTATGGACTACATAGCATGTTAATCTGAGCTCTTAAATGTTCTAACTTATTTATAACTGATGAAAACAGATGTTGAACAGTTTACAGTTTTTTTTTTTGGGGGGGGGGTTGTGTGTTTATCTGTTTTTTTTCTTCCTTATGGTCAGGACAGGTGGCCTATGGATGCACTAAAATTTCCGTCTTGAAATGTGTTATTTCAATGTCAGGTCTGTGGTTATGCTCGCAAATTTTTTTTTGCCTTTGCTAATTGTTCTCATACTGCAATGGTTAGACTCATTCATATGTCATCAATACTTGTTGGGGGGAGTGATTGACATGTTTTGTCTATTAGAGGTACCTGTTATTGTCTGGCTGCCTGAGGATTTGCCAATCCGTTTTTTTGTACTTGTATCAACAATAATAATAATAAAATAAAAAAAAAAAAAGTTTCTTCTGATTGTGAAAAAAAGTGTCCCCTGTATCTCTGTTTCAGTGTATGATTTTTTTTTTATTATTGTGATAAAAGTTGGAGAGGGGGAGAGAGAGAGAGAGAGAGAGAGACAGTATGATAAGGCAAAAGTATAAAGTGGACGGTGTGATTAAAAGTGGATAAAGTATAAAGTGGACAGTGTGATAAAGTGGATAAACTATAAAGTGGACGGTGTGATAAAGTATAAAGTGGAATGTGTGATTAAAGGTGGATAAAGTATAAAGTGGAATGTGTGATTAAAGGTGGATAAAGTATAAAGTGGAATGTGTGATTAAAGGTGGATAAAGTATAAAGTGGAATGTGTGATTAAAGGTGGATAAAGTATAAAGTGGACAGTGTGATAAAGTGGATGAACTATAAAGTGGATAGTGTGATAAAGTATGTGAACAAAGTGGATGAAGTTTAAAGAGGACAAAGTATAAAATGGATGACGTATAATGTGGGTAAAGTCTAAATTGGATGAAGTATAAAGTGAATGAAGTATAACGTGAACAAAGTATGACCAACTGGATGAAGTATAAAGTGGACAAAGGTAGGCTTGATAAAGACAGAGGCAAAAAAGTTTCTAAAAACTTCACTTCTTGTGTCCTAACTTTCATAAACATCTATTCAAGAAAGTCACGTAATAAAAACACATTCTTAAATGATAAGAACTACATAGAGAAAAGAAAGTGAGAGTTAAACACTTACCACATTTTGTGCACTGTTAGGCCTTCTGGAGGACTTTACAGGGCAGGCTACCCATCCCAGTCCCCATAGCTATTTTAGCAGAGGCAAACTACACCCAAAGTAGGTATGACATTTACATGTCAAATGGGTACGGTTTTATCTAGAAGTTACATCGTAAAAATGGCCCAGACCTCAGACAGATACCCCTCACTGGCTCTCAAAAGTCACGTGAGCTCCATAAACTTAGGTTTATGGTTTTAGGGAGTTGACAATGTACAATATATTTCACATTCTCCACAATGTTAAGTGACAGTTTAACTGGCTTGTGAGGGACGCAGCCAGTGAGTACTCCAGCAGATGAGCTGCTACAGGGAATGCCAGACAGTGCAGGTTTCCTGCTCTCTGTAGAGGACATCAAAAGTAAGTTTTTTCTATATCCTTATCTTTCCTACACCCTTCCAGAATGACATTGATTGTTAGCAATTTTCACTGGGAATTAGATCGCAGCATTAAAATGATACATGATTGATAATATGAAAATGGCACATTTTAAAATATAAATGACCCCTACCAAGGAATGCTTTAGTATTTGTATTTTTTGTTGTATATACTGGACAGATAGATAGATAGATAGATAGATAGATAGATAGATAGATAGATTAAAAATAGGTAATGCATTAGTATTTAACGCCTTTATTAACACAAATTCTAATAATGATAATATTAATATAACTATAACAAAATCATAAATGCTAGCCAAGATTCGAGTGGAAACATACTGTATGATTTCACAGTTTTTATGTACAGGCGATAAAGAATTAAAAATATTTGTTTCTAAATTAGGAATAATTCTATAGTAACGTGATGTTTACAAATCATGTTTTTTCATTATACTAAGTTACTATAAATTTTTGGGGAAATACTAATTTATAGAATAATGAAAATCCATTCAAAATAGATGTCTGCTGTGTGTTGTAAATCTGAACTGATTTTTTTTTTTTTTTGTCAACAATATTTGAGTTCTAGAAGACATTTCCTATAAAAATGACATTTGTTTGCGAAGACCAGAAAGATAATGTTTAAAAAAAAATGTGTGCAGTAGTGTCAATGTAGTAATGTTATAGATATACAGAAAAAAATCTAGAAATTCTG